TTTTTTTTACTAGTGCTTAGGTTCACTTTTCTTCAAGGGATTAGAAGCTCGTCTTTGTCAAAAACTCATTTTCATGATGAACTTAGCCATCATGAAGATTTAGACAGAGAAAGATAGAGAGAGCATGAATATTTTGTTTCTTTCTTTTATGTTTTTTTTCCCTCTTTTGCGGGAAATATCACATATATTAATATGTTAAGCGTTGGAAGGACATGGAATACTTGATGCTTCATAAATTTGTTTGTTTGTCTATCTTTGCATGTGGAAGGGGCATTGCATGGAGTCTCTTTTTCACTTTCGATTGTGTTTGTGGTGAATAAAAATGGGAACACTGTCAATAAAACTCGGCGGATGCAAAATGTGGCTGATTGGTTGAAACGGAGACTATCTGCCGAGTTTGGAAGCGCGTTAGAAGATGAAACTAGGAAGATAGAAGAGAGCTTTATAAGTTTTTTTTACCAGCCTAGAACCTCATTCCGCTACATCAAGGTGAAGTAAGCTTTGGTAGCTTAAGTATTCATGTTAGTGCCTAGAATAGAATAGGCAGATTCACCTTATTGACTCAGATCACATAGTACATTTGAAGACGAAAAAATAATCAAATAGGAAAGATCATAGTACAAGAGAGCATGTCCCTAAGTTGTAACACTTGCTATTTAAAAGAATGTCACAACTCAACTAATAACTGCAATTGTAGATGCCGAGAGGGGGAAAGGATGAGGAAACGACTCTTCATTGGAATCAAAAGCAGAAGGAGGAGTTGTTGCACCGCCTCGCAGAGTATAACCGTAATTACCACGGTAGGAAACCAACCCAAAAAAATTGGGAAGATTGGGCTAACGAACTACAAAAACATTTTACGGAGCCGGTGACGGCGGCCAAGGTTCAACAGATGAGAGTGCGTCTAAAAGGCAAGTTTGATAAGGAGGTTATACTACGCATAAGCACAGGCCCTGGTTGGGATCCTGTAACAGGCGCAGTGACATGTACTGACGAGTATTGGGACGATTTTGCTAAGGTAAAGTGTTGTGGTTCAATTTCAATTTTTTTAGTATTTTGCATAATTTAAGACATGTGTTAAACATAACCTTACTTATGTCGTTATGCTTTGTCACACAGAACAAGAAGTGGGCCAACGCTGCAAAGAAGCAACCCCTAAAAAACTTTGACCTATACTGCGAGGCCTTTGGTAATACCCAGGCAAATGGGGCTCATGCGAGGGGTTTAGAAAACCCTACCACCGAGCATGTAGACACCATCCCCATCCCGGATGTAGATGGTGAAGTGGGGGTGACATCGCACTCGTTAGGCAGCGACGACGATTTTGTCACTACGATGCGAGCCGGGTTGAACACCGCCAGGAAGGGGTTGAATGTTGCGTCCAGCTCCAAGGGGATTGGAAAGAAATCTACACGAAGTTGCAAACGGCCGGTTGGTGATCCAGAGGCTAAGGCACTACTTGGACGACTTGTGGCATCTATAGAAACTAGGCGTAGTAGCAAAGCTACCAGTTCCAGCGCTACTCAGAGCCCTACGACCCGTTCTCTTCTACAAAAGTGCCAAGACCTTGTGAAGGGAATGGATCTTGATGATGATACCAGTGTAACTTTTTTAGAGGCCATTGCGTGGTATCCGCACATGCAACAACTTTTTATGGATATGACAGAGACGCAAAGGGTATGTTTCGTGAGGAAGACCATTACCTCTAAAACAAATCAAACTACCCAGCCGTGCTCCATGCCCCCTCCATCCATGGCCTCCAACTTCATGCAGCCCCCATATCAAAACTTCATGGCCACACCCAACTTTTACCAACAACCCCCTATCTATGGCCAACAACCTTCTAACTTTGGCCAACCACAAGTACCCAGTTTTTCTCAACCCTCTCACCACGTGCAACCCCAACACCCACCAACCCAAAACATGACCCCAAATGTTACTCCCCATCCCCCTAACTTTCCATATCAACCACCATATTACATGCCTAGTTATCCCCCAAACGCCGGTCATTTTGGTGGAGAAAGCAATGAGGAGTAGCTATTTATGAAGCTTGTTAATTATGAGGCTTAGTTAGTGATTGTCGTTGTTCTTAATTATGAGGTTTTTTAAGGATTATGTTGTATTCATTTTTATTGAGTTATGTTGTACTTCGGAACTATTGCTTCATTTGCTGTTTTTTTCAATTTATGTTTTGATCACGTGGTGCAATTTGTATTAAAAACTTTACTTGTTATGAGATGGGCACCTCCCAGGTAGTGACTTTTTAAATACTTTGCCATAATATTTTTGCATAATTTCAACCTTAACTATGTTGTACAGGTGACCTCTATTATAACATATTCGGCAAACATGTCACAATGTGGAATGGAGGGCATTCGAATGCGTC